TAAATGTGGTGTTTGACTACATACAGCATGTATAGACATTAAATGTGGTGTTTGAATACATACAGCATGTATAGATATTGAATGGGGTGTTTGAATACATACAGCATGTATAAACATTGAATGGGGTGTTTGAATACATACAGTATGCATAGACATTGAATGAGGTGTTTGACTACATACAGCATGCATAGACATTGAATGGGGTGTTTGCATACATACAGCATGTATAGATATTGAATAGTGTTTGGCTACATACAGCATGTATAGACATTAAATGTGGTGTTTGACTACATACAGCATGTATAGACATTAAATGTGGTGTTTGACTACATACAGCATGTATAGACATTGAATAGAGTGTTTGACTATACATACAGCATGTATAAACATTGAATGAGGTGTTTGAATACATACAGCATGCATAGACATTGAATAGAGTGTTTGACTATACATACAGCATGTATAAACATTGAATGGGGTGTTTGAATACATACAGCATGCATAGACATTGAATAGAGTGTTTGGCTACATACAGCATGCATAGACATTGAATGGGGTGTTTGAATACATACAGCATGTATAGACATTGAATCGGGTGTTTGGGATACATACAACATGCATAGACATTGAATATGGTGTTTGAATACATACAGCATGCATAGACATTGAATAGGGTGTTTGAATACATACAGCATGTATTGACATTGAATAGGGTGTTTGAATACATACAGCATGTATTGACATTGAATAGGGTGTTTGAATACATACAGCATGTATTGACATTGAATGGGGCGTTTGAATACATACAGCATGCATAGACATTGAATGTGCTGTTTGAATACATACAGCATGCATAGACATTGAATGGGGTGTTTGAATACATACAGCATGCATAGACATTGAATGTGCTGTTTGAATACATACAGCATGCATAGACATTGAATGGGGTGTTTGAATACATACAGCACGCATAGACATTGAATGGGGTGTGATAGACATTGAATGGGGTGTTTGGTTACATACATGATGTATAGACATTGAATGGGGTGTTTGCCTACATACAGCATGTATAGACATTGAATAGAGTGTTTGGCTACATACAGCATGTATAAACATTGAATAGGGTGTTTGAATACATACAGCATGCATAGACATTGAATAGGGTGTTTGAATACATACAGCATGCATAGACATTGAATGGGGTGTTTGAATACATACAGCATGCATAGACATTGAATCGGGTGTTTGAATACATACAGCATGCATAGACATTGAATGGGGTGTTTGAATACATACAGCATGTATAGACATTGAATAGAGTGTTTGAATACATACAGCATGTATATACATTGAATAAGGTGTTTGAATACATACAGCATGTATATACATTGAATAAGGTGTTTGAATACATATAACATGCATAGACATAATATAATAATAATATTTCTATAATGTCTAAAATTATGTAGTTTATAGGATTAATATTAATTGCTTTTTTTCAAAACCTGGTGTAGTGTTTATAAATTGGATAGGATGACAGGTTACTTATGCATATGAGATGTTACTAATTATTACATATTGTGTTACAGTCTGCTGAAGTCAGTGACCGTATCTACACAGTTGGGTGTATTAGTCAGCTGGTGAAATTCGTGAACAGTAATCTTTATCTGATTGGTGGTGTTAGCCTTGGAATCGCTGTATTACAGGTTAGTCAATCCTGAATAAGTGATAGGATAAAAGTAGCTTTAGTCTGCTATAGTGGAAGTTGCTAGTCCAGCTATAGTAGATGTTGCTAGTCCTGCAATAGTAGATGGTGGTAGTCCTGCTATAGTGGACGTTGCTAGTCCTGCTATCGTAGATGGTGCTAGTCCTGCTATAGTAGACGGTGCTAGTCTCGCTATAGGAGACTGTGCTAGTCCTGCTATAGTGGACGTTGCTAGTCCTGCTATCGTAGATGGTGCTAGTCCTGCTATCGTAGATGGTGCTAGTCCTGCTATAGTAGACGGTGCTAGTCTCGCTATAGGAGACTGTGCTAGTCCTGCTATAGTAGACGGTGCTAGTCTCGCTATAGGAGACTGTGCTAGTCCTGCTATAGTAGATGTTGCTAGTCCTGCTATAGTAGACGGTGCTAGTCCTGCTATAGTAGACGGTGCTAGTCCTGCTATAGTAGACGGTGCTAGTCCTGCTATAGTAGACGGTGCTAGTCCTGCTATAGTAGACGGTGCTAGTCCTGCTATAGTAGACTGTGCTAGTCCTGCTATAGGAGACTGTGCTAGTCCTGCTGTAGTAGACGGTGCTAGTCCTGCTATAGTAGACTGTGCTAGTCCTGCTATAGTAGATAGTGTTAGTCCTGCTATAGTAGACGGTGCTAGTCCTGCTATAGTAGACGGTGCTAGTCCCGCTATAGTAGACGGTGCTAGTCCCGCTATAGTAGACGGTGCTAGTCCCGCTATAGTAGACATTGCTAGTCCCGCTATAGTAGACATTGCTAGTCCTGCTATAGGAGACTGTGCTAGTCCTGCTATAGGAGACTGTGCTAGTCCTGCTATAGGAGACTGTGCTAGTCCTGCTATAGGAGACTGTGCTAGTCCTGCTATAGGAGACTGTGCTAGTCCTGCTATAGGAGACTGTGCTAGTCCTGCTATAGGAGACTGTGCTAGTCCTGCTATAGTAGATGATGCTAGTCGTGCCCTAGTGGACGGTGCTAGTCCTGCTATAGTAGACAGTGCTAGTTCTGCTATAGTAGAAAGTGCTTGTCGTGCTGTAGTGGACAGTGCTAGTCCTGCTATAGTAGACGGAGCTTGTTGTGCTGTAGTGGACAGTGCTCATCATGCTGTAGTGGATGGTGCTCGTCGTGCTGTAGTGGACGGTGCCCGTCATGCTGTAGTGGACGGTGCTCGTTGGGCTGTAGTGGACGGTGCCCGTCATGCTGTAGTGGACGGTGCTCGTCGGGCTGTAGTGGACGGTGCTCGTCAGGCTGTAGTGGACGGTGCTCGTCGGGCTGTAGTGGACGGTGCTCGTCGGGCTGTAGTGGACGGTGCTCGTCGGGCTGTAGTGGATGGTGCTCGTCGGGCTGTAGTGGACCCTGCTCGTTGGGCTGTAGTGGACCCTGCTCGTCGGGCTGTAGTGGACCCTGCTCGTCGGGCTGTAGTGGACGGTGCTCGTCGGGCTGTAGTGGACGGTGCTCGTCGGGCTGTAGTGGACGGTACTCGTCGGGCTGTAGTGGACCCTGCTCGTCGGGCTGTAGTGGACCCTGCTCGTCGGGCTGTAGTGGACCCTGCTCGTCGGGCTGTAGTGGACGGTGCTCGTCGGGCTGTAGTGGACAGTGCTCATCATGCTGTAGTGGATGGTGCTCGTCGTGCTGTAGTGGACGGTGCCCGTCATGCTGTAGTGGACGGTGCTCGTTGGGCTGTAGTGGACGGTGCCCGTCATGCTGTAGTGGACGGTGCCCGTCGGGCTGTAGTGGACGGTGCTCGTCGGGCTGTAGTGGACGGTGCTCGTCGGGCTGTAGTGGACGGTGCTCGTCGGGCTGTAGTGGACGGTGCTCGTCGGGCTGTAGTGGACCCTGCTCGTCGGGCTGTAGTGGACCCTGCTCGTCGGGCTGTAGTGGACCCTGCTCGTCGGGCTGTAGTGGACGGTGCTCGTCGGGCTGTAGTGGACGGTACTCGTTGTGCTGTAGTGGACTGTGGTCGTCGTGCTGTAGTGGACGGTGCTCGTCGGGCTGTAGTGGACGGTGCTCGTCGGGCTGTAGTGGACGGTGCTCGTCGGGCTGTAGTGGACGGTGGTCGTCGGGCTGTAGTGGACGGTGGTCGTCGTGCTGTAGTGGATGGTGCTCATCGTTTTGTAGTGGACGGCCCCGTGTCTTCGACCTATAGGCCTCTACACGATACCGTGCGGGATCGCATAGGCTAATTCCACTTCCTTCTCACAGAAAACTGCGTCGATTGCCTGTACCTGATGAGGCTTGAGGGCACCAACACCGAAAACTTTCGCAATTTTATCATCACAAATATCGAGAATATCACAATTCATGTGCGCCGCCCTTTTGTTAAAAATGAAACGCCAAAGAGGGATTTGTATCACGCAAATTGATTGGACAGTGATTAGCCGCAAGTGACGCTGTTAGAATACGCAAATTTGATGGTCGTTCTGCCAAGATCTGTTTAGAGGCTTGGCCGAATAGAACTTAGACCTTGGCTAGCAAAGATGGTCCTGCTGTAGTTGGACGGTGCTAGTCAGGCTGAGTGCTGGTCGGTCATGAATATTAATGAGCTATATGAATATTAATTAGCAATGAATATTAATGAGTTCGGTCGCAGTCGCAAATATTTTTGGAATTAAGACATGTTTCACAATTTAGAAGAGTTTGAATTTAAAAATTAAATATATTCGAAATGTGAATGCTGCAGACTAAAAAACAGAAACAAATAAATTATTGTTGCAATAATAATGCATTTGAAACATTTCAGCCAGGAATATTTTTACGATCTTATTTACCCCAAATACATTCTCTTTCAAAAAATCGACCAGGTAATTATTTGGAGTATTGTTGTAATTTATTATTCGTACAATCAATTTCTAAAACGTATATATATATTCACAGTAATGAACGAACAAATAAAACTTCTGAACTTTCAAAATTACGACGTGACATAACTTACTTCGCGATGTTATACACCGATTATAACAATAATTCCTCTTACTCAGTCATGATGCCAAGCAAAAAAAGTTTTTTTTGATAAGAAATAAAAGTAAAATTTGACTTAGTTTGATCACTTGATCGCTTCGGTAAAAAACACAGCCCGCCATGATGTTTGTGACATATTAGTTGATCGGCATGTGTCTTGAAAGAAGAGTATTTACATGAATCGCGATGATAACAGTTCAAATGTATTTTACCAAATCATGCAATAAACACATTGATTTTTTTCTTGAGTAGCGTAAACTGTCAGATCGTGAACTCCGCTTTGACCCACAGGCACTTTGACCATATATCGGGGTGAAATTGATTTTGAAAGAATTTGAGCTTTCAATCTAAAGAATGTGTCTATCGCAGAAAGTATTTACTTACAAACAAAGAGGTGCTAATTTCACAAAATTGACTATCCACTACGTATCGTGCGACTAGGTCTATTGTTTACAAATTATAATCCACGACTGACAGGATGCGTGTCAGTCGGTACATAATTATAATAACAATCTGACATGACAATAGTCCTGGTCGGAAGCATTTCCGTGGTGGTCGCTAATTTTGAGTGCCGGTCGGGGCCGACCACCGTCGACGAGCTGGCTAGATCCCTGTGCTAGTCAGTAGGTGTTATACTCACTTTGTCCAGCTAATAAATAAGGGGGCTAGCTGGAGCTGCCCCTCTATGTGTATTTCAGATTTATGCAAATTTAACTAAACTATTTTTACGGTTCCTTTCAGATTCTTGGTATCTTTCTTGCGAGGATTCTACATACACAGATTGATGAACAGAAAACTCGATTTGAAAATTCAAAACAGCAGAATCAGTACATGTCGAGATTCTAATACAAAAACTGTTCATTTCAGTCTAGGTTCATTTTTGTACTTTTTAAATGTGTACAAGTTAAGAATGTAAATAATGTGATGTAAAATGATTGAGAGACAAATTTTAATGTAGGGAGGGAAAATTTAGGCATCATGGACTCTCTCTAATTGGGACATTCACAGCCCAATTTTGTCTCCAACATTTAGCTGCATTCATTTTCATAATTTTGTCAAAATAATATAAAATTAAACAGAAATAATTGCCACATCTCAAATTACACAATAAAATTGAAGTAATGAATAAGTAATGTTATTATTTTTATGTGTACATCTACAAGTAGAAGATGTTTTGATTCTTCCAGTGTCACTAACACCACATACATGTACCATCAGTTCAATGTTTATACTTAAAGCCTAAATTAGAGCGTTTTTATAGTACTTCAGTAGGGATATGTGAATATTTAAAAACATTGGCTGCATACACGACATCAATGTCCCCCTCAATGTCTTCCAAAAAAAATCTGTATATATTGAGAATTTGTAAATTTATTACATTGTAGTAATGTAGTAAGTATTGTTAATTATAGCTGATTTTACACCATGCGTTATTTTTTTATAACAATTTCAATTTTATAACTGTTTTTATAACTATTATTATTTTTGTTTTCTCTTTGTATTTCCATACCTAGATAGTTCCAGTACTGAAATAAAATTATTCTTATGTTTATTTATTCAATAAGATTCCTGCATGTCCACACTCGCACAGAAAAAAAAAAAATCAAAGACACTTGTTTGATCTCTGAACCAGTCTTGATAATTTTCCCACACTGATGCAAACAAGCAGCTCTCTACTGGAAATTGAGTGAGTGTAATGTGCCTCTTTGGATCGGCAATACTAAGTAGATCATTTATATATACATATTTTGATTTACAGGTTCAGAATTCCTTTATTCCATGGTAGATTAAGTTCTGGTTTCATTTCATTTCGTAGATTATTCTGAACATAATATATACAAGGTTTCATTTAAATTAGATACTAAAGATACCTGTGGAACACAAATATTAATCAAGTCTGAATAGTTCCAGGGCACCCATGTCATTGACATTTGATGGACAGTTCTCAAGATATTGGTGGAACAGACACGCACATACACACACAGGATAACTGCAGAAACTCCCAGAGTGTGTGTGTGTGTGTGTCATATACATGAGAGTTCAAAATAGTGATCATGAACAGAAAATTGAAATTACTCATTTATCAATCATGTACTTTATTTTTAATAAAGTAGGAAATTAAATCAAAGCTCATTACATATACACAATGCATGATGGGAATATTCAACATTAAAGCAGCCACCATGTCAGAAGAACTTCATCAATTTCTTTTTATCTATTGTATAAAAAGCATGTTTCATCTTTGAAATGTTTGTACGTCTTTGCTTTTTTCCTCTCATGTTAACAGCAAAGGGAAGCAATGCCGGTTCTCTCAGTATACATCCCCAACCATTAGGCGTGTAGACTTTCAATTTCACACGTACATCATTTGCTATGGTAACTGCCGCCCAGCCTGCAATCAATAAAATACTGTAAATGTTTTAATCTCACCTGCTAAATTTAAACCCAGTGAATATGTTCAGAGCATCAAAATAGTGAAATTAAATATCAGTGAGAATAGAGGATTTTACAGTATACTTGATTTGTGATCTTCTGTCTTTATACAGATTGTAACCTCAGCAGAAGTAGGTGTTTCTATGAAAACCACTAAATCTCACATAATCCCTATACTGTGTTGGTAAAGATTAAGACTGACACTTTGGCCAAGAGTGTCCGGGGGTCATTGCTATAATAATAAATTTATTGTATCCTTAGAAATAGTTTCCATTGGTTGACAGAAATAAAATGTTTTTCAATAACTATCTGCCTATTTTATCAGATTTATATTTTTAATAAATGCCGAAATGTGGACACTGAATGCATAGCATATACACTTCATATTGACATTGTACGACTTGCAAATGAGAGAATGTACTAGCAGTTTTTACCAAAAATTACAAAAATATAGAATTGAAGATCACAAAATGAATAAATCTAATACACCAAGGCTTGTTGTTTTCAAGAAGAAATCGAAAAAGTAAAAAGTAGACGTACAATCACTTATTTGACAGCAGAGGTAAAAAGATGGCCACGGGTTGAGTTTGGGCCTCCAGAGGATGCCAGTTTTGTCAAGCAAACCTCAATCGAAGAAAGGTTAGAAAGAACTCCCGTGTGCTGAGAGTATTGAAGACACATTAAAAATTACTTGTACATGAGGTATTGATGGAAAAGCTGAAAACTAATTATGTAAATCAGGTAACTAATCAGGCCTGTCTATTGTCCTAGAGCATTTATGTACCAAATTTTATTCAAATGTGATGATCAATAAGCATAAATATTTACCAAAAACTAATTGGGTCTCTGCATAGTTCTCTTTAAAAGTTTCATTAAAATCCAATTCGTGGTTCTTTATATATCAGTGGAACATTATGCAAATTAGGTAATTAATATCCAATTAAAACTAATCAGGTCTCTGCATAGTCCTAGAAGATCTACAATGTTCGTAGCAAGTCTCATTGAAATATGATGATTAGTACTTGAGATATCAGGCAAAAAGCTGAAAATTAACTAATTATGCTGATAAGGTAATTAATATGCACAAATATTTACCCAAAAACTAATTAGGGGTCTGATATTACCCTAAAAATTATCAAATTACCCAAAACTAATCAAATCTGCACATCAGTTTGGAGCATCTATGTGCCAAGTTTCATCAAAATCCAATAAATGGTTCTTTAGATATCAGTGGAACAGTCATGGAACAGCTAAAAATCAGCTAATTATCATGCAAATTAGGTAATTAATATGCATGGATTTTTACCAAAACCTAATCAAATCTGCGCATTGGCTCAGAGCATCTATGCACCAAGTTTCATCAAAAATCAATGTATGGTTCTTGAGATATCAGTGGAACAGACACAAACACACAGACAGACACACTAACTGCAAAGACTCCCTTTTTGTGCTTCGCACACGGGAGTAAAAAATTACAGTACAAGATGTTAAATATGTCGCCATCTTGAGAAATTAAGCTTCTTTCTGATGACTTTATGTGTCAGTATGGTATGTCAGTATGCAATTCACAATATCACATGGTTCTCTCTGTGTGACGGATTCCAATGAAATGGCAGGTCAGTAGTGGCACAGTGAGACCAGCCGTGTAAGACTAAATTTCACAGTTTATCCAATTTCTGGTATATGTGGATTATTATATGCTTTGTTGTGTGTTTGAAATTATAAACATCACTGATGTGGTTGACTTACCAGCAGAGGAAAACAAGACGTCAGCAGTGCTCTCCTTCCATCCTATACCAGTAATGGTGATATCTTTTGGTATTAATGGTGGAAACGTGGCGGGTCGATCTTCTCTACAAACTGGTACCTGTAACAGTAGTTGGAGTACAGTAACACAAATACACGGATTTCAAAAAACCATCCTGGTCTTTGAGCACTCTCAAAATTATTTAAAAGACCTATCTACCATCATATATACGTTACAGGGTGGTTTCATGTGTTCATTTTTTGTGCTAAAAAACAATATGTTGCATGGGACCCATATATAATGACACAGTACAATACATTTTAAAGTTCAGGTATCTTTCAAACACGCTCGATTTGACACGCTCAATTGTTGTGTATGGTAATATTACATTGCATGGAACCTCTTATATTGCAATCCTATATCAACAGCATTGTTTAATGCGAAGTGTTAAACAGTATTTGTTACGCAGATCTCATGCTTTCTCGCGTTAACTGCTTCTTCGCGAGAATAGATGGTCATGTGATGCTGACATATTTTCATTGTAGTTTGTTGTGGCGCCATCTTGAACTAACTTTTCGAAGTTAGTCAGTTAGTTGTTAGTCTTTTACCGTCAAAATTTAATTGCTAATTCATCTTTATTCAACGTGAATTCAATCCTTTTGACAAGATGGACGAAGAAATAATGGTTACACGTTAACGATTTGGTTGGCAATGTTAGTGACAACATAGTACCAGACGACGATGCAAGACCAAGTTGCAGTCAAACTGTACAATTTTCAAGATCTGCACGCGCATCAGCGCGAGCAATATATTCTTAGATTCCCATAATACTAAAAACTGGACCACTACAGTTTTGCGAGAAAAACTGCTACAAATTGGAGTCAAATTACCGCTGACTATGAATAGAAGAAGTCTGTTACAGATTTATGAACTGAATAAAGTCGAAAATCCTGTCCAATCTACTGCCATAGATGTGGACGCCAGGACAGAAAACGTTGAACTTGTTCAAAATGACTGCGTATTATTACCATCTTTGCGAGATGGGGGAGAGGCTGTTACGAATTAATAATAACATTTCTCCAATCAAGCGGGAGTTCATCGTGAAATACAAGCATTGCGACAGTCAATTTCAGAGTTGCAGGAAACTGTAGTGGACAGGCCAACATACAGTCTCGGCATTCCTTGGGAACCATATCTCACACTGATCAGCGAATTGCTGGAGTGGAAACAACAGCTTCTCCGCTTATTGCCTTTTATGGTAACGACGTTGATGGTACAAATGAAAGACAGAGGTTTGGTGTTGTGTCTCATGATTTACCGAAGATAGTCTCTGTGTTTCCATCGATGAGAAAAGCTATTGTTGAAGGTAAATATATTAACCTTGCAGGTTTACTAATTCCGGCACATGAAGTCTCTGAAAGTCGTACCATCATGGATTTGTCGGGTAATGAAATTCACATTAAAGGCAACCCTGACGTACGGATAAATAAGTCCTTAACTTTGAATGAGCTTTTAGTTGCCTTTGGAAGGTACAAGGCAGTCATGTGCGATGTCTATCCTGGCAGAAGGTAATAGTTAGACTTCTATGAAGCTGATATTGTTGATATGGCCAATAGTTTCAGTGGTGGAATTTTCTATGATTATCATGTTCAGTTTACGACTAAGGCTGCCACATACCTCCAGTACAAAAAGGTTACTAGTAAAGTAGACTGATCAGTCAGAGACAATGACATTTTCATCAGAGTCACCGCAGGCCGAATAGCTGCTTCATGTGTCATCTGCAGCAGTACACTTCACTCTGTGGATTTTTGCCCTTGTAAGCAATTCAATCATGTGCAGCGGGGACGCGAATATCAGCCTCAGTTTAATTCCAGCGACATTAGAGGTAGACCCAGACATTTCTGGCAGGGATGAGAAATTTATAATAAAGGTTGGGGATAAAGGTTGTTCAAGGGCTGCTTGTCCTTTATCTCATGTTTGCTCTGCATGCAAAAGCAACCAGCACCCCGTCAGCAGATGTATGAAGTCACAAGTTTCTACCAAGAGCCCTGCTAAACAGTGACTATATCAACACCAAGTACACCAATTAATGTGGACTTGTTAGAACGTGATTTAACTGGACATCCGGACAATAACTTTGTTTCAAATTTGTGCACTGGCCTCAGAGAGGGTTTCTTAACTGACGTAGATAATCCACCTACTGTATCTTTTGAGTGTAATAATAATTTGTCTGCCAGAAATAATCCACTAGTTGTTAAAGATCTTATTCAAGCAGAAGTTAGAAAAGGTTACCTCATTGGTCCTTTTCTAAAACCCCCTTATCAGGTATACCGTATAAACCCACTAGGGATAGCTGTGGGTAAATATTCAGGGAAAAAAAGACTTATAGTCGACTTGTTGGCATCGCATGATAAATCAGACATTCCAAGTCTCAATGAACTAATTGATAAAGACTCTTATTTACTTTCTACATAACTGTTGACGATGCGATGCAAGAATTGAAACATGTTGGTAATAAATAATTCATATATGTGCAAGTTTGATATTATGGATGCTTTCAAACAGATCCCTTTGCATTCATCTGTTTGGAATTTGCATGGTATCAAATGGGATGGCTGCTATTATTTCTTTGTTAGACTAGTTTTTGGCAGCCGTTCCAGTCCTAAGATTTTTGACATGTTGTTTGTTGCAATTTGCTGGATTGCCAAGCATAAGTATGGTGTTCCGTTCATTCTGCATTTGTTAGATGACTTTTTGACTATAGATTCTAATCAAGAGACTGCTATGCATTCAAGTTGGCAGTTATGTCCTTGATTTTCAATTCTCTTCAGATTCCTTGATCTGAGCATAAAACTGTGGGTCCCACTCAAGAATTGGAATATCTCAGTATTTTGCTCAATGCTCGGGATATGTTGGCAATTTTGTCAGCCAATAAGAAGGCTCAGATTATTGAAAAAATTGTTCATGTTTCATTAAAGAAATCCGTTTCAAAACGAGATCTATTATCTTTGTTAGGACATCTTAATCTCGCTGCTAGGGTTATTGTGCCAGGCAGGTCATTTCTTTCCCATTTGTTGTTGTTAGCAGCTTCAGTTTCCAAACTTCATTTCCATGTGGCACTGAACCATGATTCCAGAATGGAATTGTCTATGTGGGGTGGATTCTTAGAAGCCTGGGATGGAATACATTTCTTTCTTCACAGCTCTGTGACCTACGCTTCGGATATAGAAATTTTCACCGATGCTTCTTCCATAGTGGGTTTTGGAGGTTTTTATCAAGGTCATTGGTTTTGCGACAAGTGGCCTACGGAGTTGGATCTGAAGCAGCAAGATGAGTTTTCAATGGCTCTTTTAGAATTGTATCCTTGTGGTGGCGGCAATGCTTTGGGGTTGCAATTGATCTACCCAACGCATTTGTTTCAATTGTGACAACCTTGCTGCAGTCCACATCATCAGGAACAAGCGAGCATCCTCTCGTTGTCAGATTCTGAATAAGCTCATGTGGCGGTTAACATTAACAGCTATTGAGCTTAATTTTACTGTTTTAGCCCGTCATCTCCCCGGAGTTAAGAACGAAATAGACTCATTATCTTGTTTTCAGTTTCACAGGTTTCACCGTTTGACATCCGCAGCAGAGAAACACAAGACTCAGTGTCCTCCATTTTGCAGGGTAATCACGATATAGCCTCAGATTTCAACTGCTTATGGATTTCAACAGTTACGAATAAAACTAGACAGACTTATCGTAGTGGATACATGCAGTTTTCCAGGTTTTTGACTTATGCTAGTCCATGTTTTTGTTTACCAGCTGTTTCAGAAAACTTGTTGTCACTCATTGTCATATACATTTAAATTTAAGTGCAACTACTATCCAGCTATATTTGGCTGGAATTAGATTTATGTATTTGGAAGCAAGGCTTCCGAACCTATTGAGGTCAGCTAGTGGTGGGCTTTTAGAAAGGCTGAATTTATTTTGTAAGGCTGTCAAACAGGTTCAAGGTCAACATGTGAATACAAGACTTCCTATTACAGCTAACATGGTAGTTCAGTTAACGGCCAAGTTAAATGAGGGTATTTTTACCCCTTTCACAGATGTAATGCTCTCGGATGTAGTTTTAGTCGCTTTTTTTGGTTTTCTCCATTGTGGGGAATTTGTGATTGACACTGCTAACTTTGATCATCAGATTCATTTATGTGTGGAGGATGTTAAATTTCAAGGTACTAGCAAAGCCTTTTTGACTCTTAAAATGTCAAAGACAGACCCCTTTCGTAAAGGTAGTACTATTACTTTTGCTAGCAACGATACTTGTTGTCCTGTTAAAGCTTTGCTAAAATATTTACATGTACGTCGTATTAGTCATCCTTGGGTTTCAGGATCTATTATTCATTTTTGAAGACTGTCAACCTTTGTCTCGTTCTCGCTTTTTGCATTATTTGCGGTTACTTCTTGATGCTGTTGGTGTCGATTCCTCTAAATATTCAGGACATTCTTTCAGAATAGGAGCTGCCACTACCGCAGCAAGTGTAGGAGTGCAAGATCATCTGATTAAAACATTAGGTCGCTGGCGTTCAGGTAGTTACACTCGCTATATTCGTGTAGCGAAAGAGTCAGTATGTGCTGCTCAATTAGCTTTAGTTAACAATGCGCAATAGTTCAATAGTTTTCATTACTGTGTTTCGCTGTAGGTTAACTTGTATCTTTTATTGTTTGTTCCATTTCTCTTTTATCTTGGGGGCATTCTGTAATTTAATAATTACATCTTTTTGGGGACTTCACAAGATGCTCATATCCCCCAACATTGTAGTTCGAGACAAATTTTTTGTAATATTTTATTGTATTTTATATTGTTACTTGAAGACTTTTACCTCTGTAAATTCATCTGTTTAACACATTTACATGTTCATGCAGCCCTCGCTGTGTCAACATCTTACTTAGTAGGCACAGCCCCTGCCTCGCTGCCTAACCATACTGCAGCCCTCGCTGCATTAATGTCTAACCTGAGTAGTCTCAGCCCCCGCTGTGTCCACGTTTAACTTCATGCAGCCCTCGCTGCCTTAATTAGTTGCAGATTTCAGTATTTAATTCTTGTTCATTTTATAGTGTACTATTTTATCTAATTGTTTTTCATGCTTTTCTGGGGTCCACCGTGGAGCCACCTGAACAGGTTACTTTAACCCTGTTTCTATTTGTTGTTGAGTTTTTGTTCACAGTGTACCCCCCTGTTTTTGCCAAAGAATAAATAATGTTGAATACTATCCTTTGAGTCTGTGTCATAAATGCATAACTTTAATAAAACAAACCTTAAAAAAGCTTTCATTATTCTCTTTGTACTTTATCTCAGCATCCAGAGTTTCCATGACATACACTGGCAGATGATGTGATGCAAAAACTGTCAGTAGAATAGAATCCCCACCCTAAATAAAAAAATAAAATACAGTAAGTAGAATAGAATCCCCACCCTAATCAAAAATAAAATACAGTAAGTAGAACAGAATCCCCACCCTAAATAAAAAATAAAATACAGTAAATAGAATAGAATCCCCACCCTAAATAAAAAAATAAAATACAGTAAGTAGAATCCCCACCCTAATCAAAAATAAAATACAGTAAGTAGAATAGAATACCCACCCTAAATCAAAAATAAAATACAGTAAGTAGAATAGAATCCCCACCCTAAATAAAAAATAAAATACAGTAAGTAGAACAGAATCCCAACCTTAAATCAAAAATAAAATACAGTAAGTAAAATAGAAGCCCCACCCTAAATCAAAAATAAAATACAGTGAGTAGAATAAAATCCCCACTCTAAATAAAAAAATAAAATACAGTAAGTAGAACAGAATCCCCACCCTAAATAAAAAATAAAATACAGTAAGTAGAATAGAATCCCCACTCTAAATAAAAAATAAAATACAGTAAGTAGAATAGAATCCCCACCCTAAATAAAAAATAAAATACAGTAAGTAGAATAGAATCCCCACTCTAAATAAAAAATAAAATACAGTAAGTAGAATAGAATCCCCACCCTAAATAAAAAATAAAATACAGTAAGTAGAATAGAATCCCCACCCTAAATAAAAAATAAAATACAGTAAGTAGAATAGAATCCCCACTCTAAATAAAAAATAAAATACAGTAAGTAGAACAGAATCCCCACTCTAAATAAAAAATAAAATACAGTAAGTAGAATAGAATCCCCACCCTAAATAAAAAATAAAATACAGTAAGTAGAATAGAATCCCCACCCTAAATAAAAAAATAAAATACAGTAAGTAGAATAGAATCCCCACCCTAAATCAGTTGAAGTTTATTTTTGACCTGAACTTCCCACTCTAAAATTTCTGAAATCATTGCCACCATATTAAAATTCCTATGATACTTTCTAATTTATTCATTTCAATCTTTACTCGCCGATAGCTTGTCACGCTGATCAGTAGTGGTTCGCCCTGACCTGCACTCAAAATCAACGACTACCACAAGGTTATAAACAACATAGTCTATTTTGTGAAATTAGCACCTCATTGTTTCTGACAATACACTAAGTCCTTAATTTGAAAGCTAAAAGTCAAATATTTCATGTTGACATTAGAGATCCTATTCTGTTTACTTTTTCGAAACACAAAGACAGTGTTTATTGCGTGAGTGGGTAAAATACATTTCAACTGTTATCATCTTGAATGATGTCAAAACTTGTTTCATCATTTAAAAATTGGTAATTGCTATCCCTACCCCTAGGGAAAATTTCTGATTCTATTAGTAGTACCACATGATACCCATTATTAGCTCATTAATATTCATGAGCAACTAGCATTCCCATTGGACTGTTGAGATCCTTGTACCTGGTACATATTGCAATAATGTATGACAAATAATCTTTTCAGTTTGTGTAAAATCTCAACCAAGTTAATTTAAGAGCATTTTTTTTCTGGTTGACTATAACAATTAGTTTATGTTTTACTCAGATTAAAGAATTAATCACCAACATGAGAAACACATAACACCCAATCTGCTTTGTATCCATCCTGAACTATTATTTGTTATATAATATCATGACAGAACCCCACAACCTCCCTGAGCTGTGTGATGCGGTGTATCCTGTGGCCATACTCTCACGAACGAAGTGAGTGAAAGTACAGCAGGATACACATCACGAGTGAAAATAACTTCCATATGCAACGAAAGCCACGTGGTGGGTTCTGTCATTATTACATATGTTCCATATTTGATTATTTCATATTAAAGAATGAACGTATAACAAACTGAGTCGCTGTCCGAATAAATAACTTGTGGATGTTTAGTTGTGGCCACGACAGAACCAGAACTTGAACAGGATGAATACGATACACACTAGTTTATGTTGAAGTTAAAAGTTCCTCCACAAACTTGTGTATTGACAAACATGCCATGCAACTGCGGTACTCCACTGATAGGATGACTATCATCGACAGTGGTCGTCGCTGAGCTGCACGCTACAACTTTGTTTGTAATGATGCTTGCTGGATGTGGATAGAATGAGTCCTGGCCGGTTAAAATGTTGCTTATTTGGCGTTGGTGATCTTTATTTGAAACTGAGTAATGTTGCAACGTCACCAGCAGAAACCTCCTGGTACCTCAATGTTCATGGTTGCGACTCCATAGCAATTGCTGATTTTACTGCAATGGATCTTCTGAGAGCCCTTCAGGGTATAAAACTCAGTTTCCAGGTGGTCAACAAACATTAAGTTCTCCCAATCGTAGTATTCCATGAGATGTACACCTAATATGCCAAAAATGTTGCCTAACGATTTGAACCAGTTTACAAAATAAAAATAGTTTGGTTGCCAATGGAAATACCATGTTCATTTGCATATCAACGGTGAAAATACTGAAAACATTATTGCATGGGTGATATGCAAATTAGTTTTAGTAAAAAAAGTGACTGCCTAAAAATACTTTTGTTCAAATTTCACTTCACTTGGCAATTATATTCATGTACCCCAAGAGAAAAATATTGTATTTCTAAATATTGTTCATTTTTGCTATGTTTTGAAAAACTCCTGAAGGGACTACTTTGTTTGCTCTCAGACCTCATTTGCATATGAGGTGTGGAAATACCAGGGACGAATCATTAGATTGTCATTGGACAAAGTTGTAGATACGCTTTTTGCATTCTTATAGATAACCATCAATAATATGCACAAAATATATGTAAGTTCTTGCATACATTTGTGTATAATGCAACTAATGTGTTGCCTACCTGCAAATAGTCAAGTCGTCCTAATCCAGCTAATAGAAAACTTTGTGAAGGCTTTAGTCGTATAGTTTGTGGAGTTAACACTCTTGATGGTAAAACTAGTTTCAATTCGTCTGACGTGAGCTTTGTTAAAATCTGTAATAAATTGTACCTTCATAAGACAATAAAAAATTGACTCAAAAATAAACTACAGATTCTAGAAGATCTCCAATTATGCCTAAAAGATGAGTGGAAAACAGAATCAATGAAAATAGGAATCATGCATTGACATAATTCATCAGATCAATGTGCTACTGATAAACATAGATAATGATTTTCAAATTAAATTATCAATTTTGATATCCGAGTGATTTAGTTATCAATCTTGATATCCAGTGTATTTAGTTATCAATCTTGATATCCAGAGTATTTGGTTATCAATCTTGATATCCAAGTGATTTAGTTATCAATCTTGATATCCAGTGTATTTAGTTATCAATCTTGATATCCAGAGTATTTGGTTATCAATCTTGATATCCAAGTGATTTAGTTATCAATCTTGCTATCCAGTGTATTTAGTTATCAATCTTGATATCCAGAGTATTTGGTTATCAATTTTGATATCCAAGTGATTTAGTTATCAATCTTGATATCCAAGTGATTTAGTTATCAATCTTGATATCCAAGTGATTTAGTTATCAATCTTGATATCCAGTGTATTTAGTTATCAATCTTGATATCCAGAGTACCGGTATTTGGTTATCAATCATGATATCCAGAGTATTTGGTTATCAATCTTGATATCCAAGTGATTTAGTTATCAATCTTGATATCCAGAGTATTTGGTTATCAATCTTGATATCCAGAGTACCGGTATTTGGTTATCAATCATGATATCCAGAGTATTTGGTTATCAATCTTGATATCGAGAGTATTTGGTTATCAATCTTCATATCCAAGTGATTTAGTTATCAATCTTCATATTCAGTGTATTTAGTAATCAATCTTGATATCCAGAGTACCGGTATTTGGTTATCAATCATGATATCCAGAGTATTTGGTTAT